TTGATATATTTTTTTAATTTTTTTTATGACATGACAATTATATATATTATATTTATAGTATATAGATAAATAAAAATATCACGTAAATAAATATTTATATTTTAATTAAAATTAAAGTACTATTTTAGTCCCTTAACTTTTTATTTTAGTACCAAAATTGTTTTTTATTTTTAAAAAATATTAAAACTATCCATAAACTTTTATTTTTGATACCAAAATAATCTTTTTGTCAGTTAAATGGCAAATAACACGTTAAAATGCTACAAAATCAATGGCATGGAAAAAAAAAAAACACAATTGACCATTTTTTTCATGAGGTGGTATTTTTATTTTTTTTTGTTGTACATTGAGGTGGCATTTTTATTTAATTTAAAAATTTTGATATCTTTTTTTCAATCCACGTCATCTCTTCTTCCTCTTTCACTTTCTCTCTTTTACCTTTCCTTTTCCCTTGCCTCTGCAAACCCAGATCTGGGTTCTCTCGCAAACTTCATCTTCTTCCTTCTTTCCTTTCCTTGCTCATCCTTCTTCCTTCTTCTTCTTATTCTTTCTCTCTCTCTCTCTTCTCCTTTCTTCTTCCTCTTTCAAACCCAAATCTGGGTTTTTCTCAAACCCAGATCTGGGTTTCGTCACATAACATGAAAACGCAAAGCTTGAAAGGAAGTGACTTTTTCTGTGTCATGAGTCTCGACTCCTCGACTTGTCTCTTTCTCTGCTTCTTTTAGCACCTCTTAAGCCCACACAAGAAACAGGGGGGGCGAGAGGGAGAAGCCCACGGTGGCGTACGGTGGCGTACGGTGGCAGACTGCCGGTCCCTATATCTTCTCCCCGGTTCAATTAGGATTCTCTCTCTCTTCCAAGGTCGCTTTGTTCTCACGGCAATTTCTGCTCCGATACTGGGGCAAAAAGATTGATTCTGAAACTTGTTCATTTCTTTTTCTGGGAAATTGGTATTTTCAATTTGGTAGAAGTCTGGCAGACCTTAAAGGAACCATAGCGTTCCTTCGACCCTCTTTGTCTGTAATTCTAGGTGATCGATTTGATTTCAAGTTAAAGAAAACGAAGAGGTGGGGGATTTACAGGGTGAAAATGCTTTGGATTCTGCGGTTTTCTTGGTTTTTCTCTGCGGCTATGCTGATGATTGTCCTCTCGCCTTCCCTGCAATCCTTCCCTCCCGCAGAAGCCATTCGTTCCTCCCATTTAGACTGGTACCTCCGGTTACCGACGTCGCAGTTTTCCA